AATTTTTTTTCACTCAAATTGAATATCACTGTAATGCATATCTCTTTTTTATATATCAATTCAAGGGTTGTTTATATCTAGTAGTACATATCTTGTATTATATATCTAGTGTTTACATCTTGTGCGTCTTTTACCATATGTTATCCTTATCCCATCATCATATCATATTAGGTTGGAATATTCCCCATTATTACCTGTAGTGAAAACATATTTTAGCCCTTATGCTAAGTAATTTATCCTTTCAACCAATCTATCCTTTGGTTAATTTAAGTACATGATTTTAAGGAATAACAAGTGTACCAAAATGGAGAAACAAAACCCCAATAATAGTACTCTAAATAACAGTACTCCCAACCAGGAGGCATCCCCTCATAAACAAATTAGGAGCCCAGTTAATTTCTCTATCAATAACTTTAATGGTGACAGCCCCGTTACCTGGTTCCTCGCACAAGTCAGAGATTTAAAGACCATTAATAATTGGACAGATCAAATTGCGCTTACATTCTTAAAATCGAAACTTGAAGGCTCAGCCCTACATTACTTTTCACAGTCACCAGATTGCTTAACTCAAGATTTTGAGCAGGCGTGCAAATCTCTTAGAGATTTTTTTAATGTTGAACCCTCCCCTACTGCAGCCNATCTTTTCACTTAGTATTATCGTCTGATATTTGACTCTTTTTATCATAAATACTAGTTGTCTTTTTCTATGTTGTCCAATATTATGCACGTTTGGATAAGGTAATGCTTCTTCATTTAAATATAAGGGTGTATATTGTGTGTATGTAAACAATTTTTTTTCACTCAAATTGAATATCACAGTAATGCATATCTCTTTTTTATATATCAATTTAAGGGTTGTTTATATCTAGTAGTACATATCTTGTATTATATATCTAGTGTTTACATCTTGTGCGTCTTTTACCATATGTTATCCTTATCCCATCATCATATGTTAGGCTGGAATATTCCCCATTATTACCTGTAGTGTAAACATATTTTAGCCCTTATGTTTAGTAATTTATCCTTTCAACCAATCTATCCTTTGGTTAATTTAAGTACATGATTTTAAGGAATAACAAGTGTACCAAAATGGAGAAACAAAACCCCAATAATAGTACTCTAAATAACAGTACTCCCAACCAGGAGGCATCCTCTCATAAACAAAATAGGAGCCCAGTTAATTTCTCTATCAATAACTTTAATGGTGACAGCCCCGTTACCTGGTTCCTCGCACAAGTCAGAGATTTAAAGACCATTAATAATTGGACAGATCAAATTGCGCTTACATTCTTAAAATCGAAACTTGAAGGCTCAGCCCTACATTACTTTTCACAGTCACCAGATTGCTTAACTCAAGATTTTGAGCAGGCGTGCAAATCTCTTAGAGATTTTTTTAATGTTGAACCCTCCCCTACTGCAGCCTTAGTTGCCTTTGAGAATATCTCGCTGTTGGAAGGTGAAAGCATACGTTCCTTAGCTCACCGACTTAAAGTTGCTGCGAGTAAGGCTTTTAAAGACACTCCACCTAATGCAATCGATGCTCTTTTATCTCTTCAATTTGTCAAAATATTACCCTATCACCTCAAACAAAAACTCCTCATGGAGGATGACCAATCTTTTGACCATCTCACTCAAAAGGCGGCCAGGTTTATTGCTGCAGAACAGGCCATTCAGGCTACATCAGCCAACGCCCATGTTGATCCCTCATCTAATACTCTCTCGACTCTCCAAGAGTCAATCAATTCAATCAAAATGGAACTTAAATCCCTTTCTATCAAACAGTCTCAAAATGTCAACAGTATCCAAGCGGAGGAAAATGAGGAAGTCTCGCAATTACGCGAAACAATCAAAAATTTGAATACCAAACTTCAACAACAAGAATCCATGTCCTGTTCTAATAATGGTGGTAGAAATAAACACTCCACCCATGTAAGGTCTTTCAATCCACAAAATAATTCTTCCAGGTTTAATCGACCTTCCCACCCTATTGTTTCTCAAAATCTATTCTGTCTTTTCTGCGGTAAACGCAATCATGTGATGGCCAATTGTTACACTTTTCAACGATTATCCAACCCAACTAGACCATCACATAACTCACAGTTAAACCCTAATGCTCCTTCTTTCAATCAAAGATATCCCAGGCCAACCAGGCCTAATGATAATTCACGTCAGTATCCTCGTTTCTTTCAAAATTCCAACCGTAATTTAAACCAGTAATTGGGATTAATCAGGGTGCACTAATCCCAAGTGAACAACTCCAGCCACCCAAGCTTATTGCTTCCAAACCGAACATTATTGATTTTTTGAAACTACCTATGTCACCAAACAATTTTTCTATCCAGTCCTTTTTCGATGAACATTTCATTGGTGTCAAACAAAATACTTGTCGTCAAGATAAGTGTGTAATGAGTGTTTTCACAAGTAATCAACTACCTATCATCGAAGTCAAATTTAACCGAACCATTGTGAAGTTTCTCTTGGATACCGGTTCCTCAGTATCCCTTTTAGGCAAACATATCTTTACGTCTTTGCAACAAAAACAAAAAATAAGAAGATTATCCCGACAAGTGTCAATTACAACCATCAATTCAAATCTCGATTTTGAAGCGTGTATTGAAGCTTCTTTCAAAATCCAGCACAAATTCTTTAAACATCCTCTTTATATCATCCCGCTGTTAAATCAGTCCTTTCATGGCATTCTGGGATACGATTTCATTGTGGCTCACAACATCTTGATCCATCCACAAAAGAACTTTATCACAATCCAAGACGAGAAAGTCCAATTCTGTCACTCCAATGTTGACACTTCCAAGTTGGATGAAGATACCCATTTAACAAATGACTCAGACATCCCAATCCTTCATCTTTCTCAAACAAAGCAAGAAATCATTCCAATTAATAAATCTGGCTTTCGACAATCACAAGAACATAAAGAGCACTCAA